CAAAATTATTCAAACGGTTACCTCTTTATTTAAATTAATTCAAACTAATTTTACCAAATGGGATTGTTTCGATTGTAAAGATTATAGGAATTCTAAGTCTTAAGTAAGTTAAGCAAAAAGTATTTGTACCACTTACTAGTTCCCGGGCTGCACATTTATATTGCCGCTGTGCCATTCGAGATCTATTAGATATTTTATGTTTCACCTACACATTATTGATCCATAATACCTTACAGATGAAACATATAATAATATCCGCATAGCAAGCCGGCATTATATATAACGCCCGCTCATTTAATTATTATGAAGTTGTTATTTGTTTAATTTTCATTGTCTCACGTTGACATTTTTCCAGTTTATACCACAAACAACAACTGAATTAAAACAAATACCCGCTAACTAAACTTTATTTCCAAAATAAAATTGCAATTTTTAAAGGTTCCAGAAAATAACGCAGAACTGACAACAGAATAGTCCGAGTTCCTAGTAGTGACYCTGTTCTGTGTCTCGCACATGTTTGAAARCGAACATTCWCCCCATATTTCCTCATATTGATAAGATTCCATTGAAGAATTCCCTGCTAAATTTCCGCGTGAAGATACCGAACTAGCAATTATTTCAGCAACCTTGTTTTTTTAAGAAATACTTTCTTCTGTATATCCTTCTGCTATCGTCGAACTTCTCCACTTTCCATGTTTTTTTAGAGTTTCAAACGTAGCCCCTGCTTCAACAACGGTGTAAGCCTCTGCATTATCTAATTTTAAGAACCTACTTTGCTATAGTTGCAGGTACACTTCCAATATCTAGTATTTTTACTCACTGGTTGTACTGTACAGCGAACATTTCTATACGTAAGAAAGAATCTTCGCTATTTTATTCCTTTAGGTCTTAATGCTGCGTACTTTCTTATCATGTTTAAGGCCCCTATATTTTCATCGTCAACAACAGCAAAACTTTTTGGTGTTAATGTTTTAATTTTAGGCACTTTTACAAATATAATGAYCCCTTTATCTTTCTCTCGTCTTAATCCAACAAAACACCCATTACTAGTATGAGTGTTTTTGGTAGTAATGTAACAGGTAGATGTAATCAGGAGCATTTTTCAGAAAGTTTAAAACTTGTAAACACGTGCGTAAAAGCCGTGCGCAAAAGTAAAACAAATGAACACTAAAGAAAAGTGCTTCTTTTTGATCATCGCTTCTGATCGAAAGATGGCACTTTTAGATTCATTCGAATAAATAGCATTGTTTGCACGTTACGGAGACAATAATACCCATCAGGCCGAAACCTATCCCTCGGTCCAAAGGCCCTCGGGCTAGTTCGGCCTTCAGGGAATTATAGAGTCCGTAACGCCCTTGGTACATAAATAGCTATAAAATTTTCGCTTAAAGGCAGTAACGATAATGGCATTTTAAAAGCCCCATATCAGCAATAAATTCTCTTTACAAAATGCATTTGTTGATGGAGCCAAAAACAAACCACTCAGTTCCTCGTGACATAAATCACTCGGCACTACGCACATTTGAAGCAGCAAGAAGTAGCCCTGGATGGCACCTCCCGTCATCAAAACCCATATAGCTATCAGCCCATCTGTCCGATTTCGTAGAGAACCAATTTAGCACCCAACCTAAAATGCCTGAGTTTCGATTTATAGTCGTTTGTTTCGGATCTATAGGGTTGAAAGTTGGAAGTTAGGGGCACTATAAATAAAGTGGCATTAAAAATCAACCAGCAAAGTCAAACAGAGTGTATGCCATGTTTTGCATATTGCTTGATGTGGTGAATTTAACTGCGATCTGACATGGATGAAAAATAGTGTGTTGAGAACAAGGCGTGAGAGTAAATGCAGATGGAAAACAGGCAGGATTATTTCACTAGCTATGCAGTTTTAATATATTCGATGATGTATTAGTTCAGAGTGTATTCAAATATAAATACGAACGAAAAATGCGAATACAAAAATATATAAACTGTAACATCTTGCAACAGCTGTAAATATTATAGCTAAACCAGAAAGACCGTTCATCTCACCTGCTTTGCTCTAATGACAATATCGTGAGAAAGTAATTTAATTTGTTCTTTTACGTGTTAAATTCAGATCGGCAGTTTTTTAATGAATTACTAAAAACAAATTTCTTAATTTCAGGTCCTCGATCCAGGAGAATCAAAAAACCGCAGAGTGTAAGTAAAACCGAAGACAAACGTCCACGAACGGCCTTTTCCAGTGCCCAGTTAGCGCGGCTGAAGACCGAGTTCAATGAGAATCGTTATCTCACTGAAAGCAGACGTCAAAAGCTCAGTACTGAACTGGGGCTCAATGAAGCTCAAATTAAAATATGGTTTCAAAATAAGAGAGCAAAGATTAAAAAGTCCACCGGGCAGAAAAATCCTTTGGCTTTACAGCTGATGGCACAAGGGCTTTACAATCATAGTACTGTAGCATGTGATGAGGACGATATGCCCTTGTCTGCTTAAGGTTTCGTTAACGCAAAACTTCTGCATGAGCCACTTAAATAGAACATCCAAATAGTCAAAACCCTTTTTGAATAAAACTCTTTGTGATCTCGAATATATATTATTCTTTTGTTAAACATTCTGTATAGTGTAATACATTTTCCATATGGGCATGTAATGTACAGGGCGAGTATAGGTAGCTCCCAATTTCAGTGTGCCGATCATCAAAGTGGCCTCTAGGCAAAGTTAGACAATAAATTCCTATCACTTTGTAACAAATCCATATCATAATTAATATCATATTTAATATTTTAGCACATTTCGTTTTTTAAATAAGTTGCTCACTTTTTAAGCTAAATTCATATGCTGCATATAAATAAAATTGAAATTAAATAAACTATTTTCCACTGTTTCCCATTCTCCTTTGCTTGCAAATGCAAAATTTTTGGGAAAGCTTTCTTTGTATTTATTTGTCTACGAGCTAAGTCGAGAGGATTCTCGATTTCCTCTACCAAAATTGGTCCACTCGCCTGTACATTATTATCAAACTTAGTGTACAAATATAGGTAAGGTACACATTATCGATTTGTACATTTGAGCAAAACTGTAACTTATGCTAGTTTTTTGGGACAGTTCAATGTTTGTGTCTGGAAAAGCATTAAGTAGTTTGCCAAATAACTGTGTGTCTGATGAAAAGCTTTATTGTTAGAAGAAACCATATAAGTTTGTGTATTTGATGCCGCTTTGATAAAACTTTTATGGCTGCTAACGAGCCTTAATGAGGCGTTGAATATACAAACGTGTCATGTATAGTAGACTGAAATTTATTTAATAGATTTAGTGCAATGTTTTTGTATAGATTTGTTATCGTATAGAAACGAAATACAATTTTGTTCTTCCTTATTAACTGGTGTTTTATTTCATGCAAGTGATTGGACATTTGTTTTACGCCTGGATTTACAATAGAAATTCAATAACAAAACTCACCTCGTTTTTTAAAGTAAAAATATAAATTTCTTTTAAGTACTGATTTTTTATTTTTTTAAGACGTTAAAACTCAAACCACATGTCGATTGTGAGCTAAACAGGATGTGTTGGAACGGTGAATTTCTATACTTCAAAGATTAACTATTATCAAGTTAGAGATAAAACAACCACAAGAAAAATGCGTTTTGGTGCCAAATTTATGTCTCTGTGAAACGTTGTAACAATCCACATCCACGCAGAATTACAACTGGGTTTTAACTACAACTTCTGCTTACAAAAAATACAGGGTGATTCAAAGCTAGTGTCACTTTTTTGAAGCAGTTACTGTGTTTTTTTTGTATACTGACTATTAGTACAGCTACGTATCACGACTCACAATTTAGCAAAACGTTTTATTTAAAAAAATATGTGTCTTACATTCTTTTGAATTCCAGAGTATTTGTTGAGAAACATCCGTGATCAACAGGTAAACGTTACATGGGGGGTTAGTTCTTAAACTGTGTAGATTCAAACTTTGATTCCTGTAAACTATTAGAACTGAAAGATTCGGTCTTTTTGTATTGAAGTGTGAAATTTTCAAGCCTTCAATAGTACATTTGGCCTAGCGCTTTCGACTATTAAGGCATCACCAGAGCTTCTGAATTACAGTAAATAATGCTCAGTACTAATAGGTGATACAAAGGATATGGAAAACAACTTGTCAATCAATGTGCAATTGATCCCGTGTGAGCATTATCAATTTCATAAATTAAAAAAAAATGACAGAACTAACGGACTAAAATGGTTTAAAATTGTCTGGAATGGTCTAAAGTCTAAAATAGTCCATCTTTCAGACACATCGATCCAACTATATACTGTTAGATTGAGTGTCTTCTTATGAGGCATGGCATAAGGCATGGCTATAACTTTGTCTCGTTGTCGATAAAAACTATATCACATTGGCAATGGTTAGCTAAAGAAACAAACGTTTTAAGTTTAAGCAACCCTTTTCCAGTTCTTGTAGCCTTCAGTAACAAAACTTAAACTGCTGGTTCCGCCTTGTTTGAAAAATCTGCAAGGGAAAATGGAATATGGAATACAGCATTTTTGAGAATGCTGTACTTATTCCAAGGATACATAATATAATAAATAGACTTAAAATTACGAAGATCACAACCATACTGTTTTTAGGGAAACTTGCTAAGACCGGCTGTCTTGAAAGTTCTTGTAGCGATAGAGCCAAATCAATGACTTCTTTTTTCTCTATATGAAAATAATTGGCTCTTGTCCTACCTGTACCCATATTTAGATTAGAAAATAATTTATAAATTTTAAGTGGTTCTTATAAATTTACTTTTCAATTCCCGTACAACTTGGCATGTTTTCACATTCACTATCATTATTGTCGAATTTGATCTATTTTTTTTAATTCGCAATTATTTATATCGCTATTAAAAGCTCTTGGGCGAATGGTTGAACCAGACAAAATTTTGGTTGGGCGCTCGCCCAATCTCTCCCACCCCTAGCCCCACCACTGGTGCTGTGGGTTGTGTGGGACTCCCCTCCTGCCAAACACTGCGGTCATGTATGTCATATTGTGCCCTCGTCTGTATATCTCCTTGATTCATCTTCTTATCAGCCCCTTCTCATCCACTCCTGAATGTAGGCCTATTCCATATTTTTTCATTTCTGCCTGTCCATGCCAGCCCTCAGACAGTTTTTTCCAGAAATCTTCTGGATTTCATCATGCCATCTTTCTCTGCCAACACTTCTTTTACATTTTCTTGACGGCCAAGCTGTTAATTTGCATGTCGATCTCTCTGTGCTCTGTCTTGCAATTTGGCCAACCCATCTTCATTTTAGCTGCGCTACTTTTTCCCTACCATTTGTTAATTGTGGTTTCTTCTAAATTCCTCATTTGGAACTTTATGTCGTAAACTGATCCCAGCATAGCCATTTTCATCGCTCGTTGTGTGACTTGAAGTTTATTAACTGCTTTTCATGTTAGCGGGATTGTTTTGAGGCCATAAGTGAGGACTGGAAGAACACAGTTACGAAAAGACTCGACAACTTTTATCTTAATGTTTATGTGGGGGTCCCTAAATCTAAGAATGAATATACAGGGGGAGTTTTTTTCGATGACTAGTACAGTCATCTTCGGAATTAGAGTAGTTACGAAGAAGGTCAAATGGACGAAGAATTGTTGTTTTGCATGCTCTATTCGAAACCAATTATATTTTTCTAAAATTTTACAGCTGTCTAGAGATATTTGGGAAAAACTTATTTATATATATTTTTTTAAATTACTTCTAGTTCCGTTGATATTAATTTGACAGGAAAACATTAAATAGAAAACTTGTAGAAAATTGAATGTCAAATAAAATGATATAAGACATTCCTCTAAAATAACTGTCATTTTTAACATATGACACAAATTTGAGTTTTTCTAAATGGCAACCATACTTGATTATTGCTTTACCGAATAAATCATTTTATAATGATTTCTGTGATATATCACATTGTTAGGTTTTTTTCAAAAAAAATTTTAATTTATAAGAAATTTAATGAACAAGACACCAAATAAAGCGCCAATCTAAAATTGCAAGTTATCATTAGCATTGAAATTAATTAATGGAATAGAAATACAAAGAAATAAAGGGGAATGCTTATATAATCCTAAAAGAAGCTAATTAATAAATTACAAAAATGGCGAATTATTTCGAAATATTCCCTGGAACCAAATAGTTATAAAATTTTGAATTTTCTGTTACCCTATTTATTACGTTTGTTTTTATTAATAACCGTAATGGAAGGTCACGCTAGACTGGCTTTGAAGTGGGCGATCACGCAACGGCCTAAAGGCTAGTTTTAATCAGCCACGTATTTAATAAAGAAAATATTGAAAGGCAATTTCCTAGATGCATTTTCGGTGTCGTATATAAAATATTACCCACATCAATAACATCCACCTTTTTATGACAAAAACTAAACCCTTAGCCGTATGGCATACTACATAGAATTAATAAATCATGTAATACAATTATTAACATTACCAAATATCAAATGTATACCCACAATTCTCCAAGGGTTAAACTGTTTCGTTTAAATTAGACAATATTCATTGGAGTAACACAGAGCTTCAAATTATAAAACCTTTGAAATGGCCGTTATGACCCCCCATGCAACCATTATAAGGCCAAAAATAGCCCTAACTGAGAGCTTGAAGACAAACAGTTCCGCCATATATTCAAAACCCGAACGAGCCCTAAATGCCCTTTAATGACACCGACGATCTACTAACTGCTCCCAACAATTGCTCTAATTGGGGACAAATGTTTCCCAAAGGATAAAGTGGGACCTCCGCTGTCAAAGGGATGTTTGACTCTTGCGGAGAATAATATGGCGAAAATCGAAATGACTCTCGCTAGTTATTTCAGGAATTTACAGGAAAATTCCCCGATAACAAAACAGGTTGATGTAGTTTATTGTTATTAGAGCATAGCAAGTGTTCCTTCATCCTGGAATAATTAGCAGCTTAATTCAAAATTGAAGATTTGCAATAGTAATTTGGTTTAGAAAATCTAGTACAGAACTGTATTTTTTTAAAGCTTAGAGTGCTAAAATAAATGGAAAACTAATGCAAAGTAACTATTATCTGTTTTTATAATTACTACCAGTTAACAAAGGTTTCCGTGAAGGAATGGGTACCACAGAAGGAGGTATATACTAGGTGATTCAAAATTGGCGACATTCTTTTTAAGGGTCTATAGGGGCCCACTTAGGAAGTACGAGAAAAATATTGAAAATGTTTCTTTCGACAATTTCAAGAAGATATTAACAGTTGAAGATCGAATATCAACTTTGTTATTAAGCATTATTTTGAAAAGGTCCCACGTTTAATTGGTAGCCTATTGGAATACTTAAGCATTCGAAAAGAAAAATTAGAATCTTTTTGTTAAATTACGAAATTGTTTGGTGTTAAAAAAGTACTTTTCTACAATTTTTTAATGAAAAGTCAACGCGGCAATGATGTTTTTGTCATTAACAGATAGTAACAGGTAGACAGCGTTTGTCAATAATAACAAGTATTTGTCAAACTGTGGCTTATTTTGAAGTTTCTTTGGCAAAATGTAAACCAACAGCGAATTTACGAATATGCGATTAGCTATGGGAAAATGCCACAGTAACATAGCAGAAGCTGTAAGAACGTACACCAGCAAAGAGCTACACACTAGATGAGTGGCCCGAAAAGGACGCAGACAGTACACAATCTAAAGGTGCTCGGTTTCCAGACCTAGAGGAACAGGTATTGGAGATTAGTGCAGCTGAACCTTCCAGGAGTACTTGAAGCATTGCACACAACTGCACTTTCTCAAACACTCGATACTTAATTGTCCCGATAACTCCTCCGAGGAAGGGCCTACATTCCTACCATGTATGTAATATGCACAGGACACTAGAACACATTAAATCTCTGATCTTCGGAACACTAATTATACACAGCTAATTAACCGAACACGAGAAGCTGTTAAAAATATAAGCCCAGACTCAAAGTGATTGGGACACAAAGATGTTTGGAGTGAAACGGGCAGGACTTTTTACTCTTGGGAACACTTGTGTTTTAACAACAGAATTGTATTTTATTTGATTAATAATATTGATCAATGATATCAACCTTTAACCGGTGGTTTTGGATGACATTTGTGATATATTTAGGTGTATCACTCATTTTCCCCAAAAAGATAGCAACACTCGGGGGGCTGTTTTGTCGCAGCACTAACCGCAAGGTGACACCGTTATCCTAACCTCAACGCATGTTATTGTCTCTTTAATTTTCTTTGCTTCATGTTTATCCATGGTTACCAGAGTTTTTAATAATTACGAAGGAACAGGTATTTATGAAATGTTAATTAGGCAGATTACCTTGAAAAACATTG